GCATTTACCGCATTTCTCAAATAAACTACTTGCAGGCAAGTCCTTATTTTCTCTAGACCCATGCGGGATGCTACCTAATAATTTAGAAATGATAATGGAGATGTTGAGTTGTATGGGATATTTGGCAGGAACTGCATTTTTAAAACCTTGATTCTTCTGCCAGTTTTCCTTCCTTGTCTGCTGTCATGGCTTTGGAGATCTCATCCTATGATCCTGCCTTTGCTGCCATCTCTGGTGCTCACCATTCTGTTTATTTCTTCATATGGCTCCATTTCTCTCTCTTATAGAAGGTTCCTGTTTGCCTCTAAAATACCCTTCAGCTACAGTTCTTTATATTATCTTCTCTTCCCTGCCAAACTTTCAAATAAGCCTTCGAGAAAATTGCCACAATTTTCTTCTCCCTTTTCACTTTTTGCTTAATCATGAATAACTTGGATACCATTGTCACCCTTCAGTCAAACAGCTCTCAAGGCCCCCCTAACCACCTTCTTATTTCAAAACATAGAGGTCCTCTTTTTGTTCTCTTGTTACCATTGAGCGTACTGAGAACATTTCCTTTTTGAAAATTGTCTTGAGTGGGTGAATGCTTAGAATCTTAACAATAAAGGGAGATTTAGTCCACACTGACACTTTACAGTGGGGGAAACTGAGACCTAAAAAGTTCAAATGGTTTGCCCAGCGAAGTCCAGAAATGTAAAAGCTTCACATTGATCATCCATGGCAGATTCAGATCTACCATGTGAACTGTTTTCAATTAATCCAGAACCAAAACCTTTCAAATATTCCTCGGTTTTATTCCTTCCTACATAAAGGTCTCCCAGGGGGTCCCTCCACAGTCATTCTCCATTGCAGCAGTTAGGATGGTATTTCTAAAGTGTAAATCAGAGCCTACCTCTCCCCTGCTTAGTCTCCAGTTCTTCTTTTCTGCACTGAAAATAAAATCCAAACTCCTTTCCGTGCTTTGTAAGATCCTCCTTGGCCCAGCAGTCTTTCCAGTCTTAATTACTGTGCATCCTCCTCTTGTGATCATTCTGCTGCCCAACACAGACCCTCCGCTTGCCAGCAAGGTGAGCCCAGCCCTCCCTGGGGCACTTGCTTTGCTGCTCCTGTGGTTGGAATGCTTCTCTCTCTGGCCACTGCACCACTGCTTCCCTCTCTTCCTGTGGTTCTCATTCAGCTCCAAAGGCCTCATGCTCAAAGAGTCTTAATCTGATGTCACCAAACCTAGCATTGTCCATAACCATCCCACTGCCCAAGACAGTATTCTCTTTTATTTTTTTTTTATAGCATTTATCACTAGTCACAGTTATGTTACTTATATATGGTTTGGAGTTTGTCATGTTTCCGAACATTAGAGTATACTTTCCTGGAATGGAGGGACTTTGTTTTGTCTTTCATATCTCTCACACCTAGATCACCAAATGACCAATAATCAGTGCTCCGTAAATCTTTGTCAGATGAATAAATAAATTAATGAATGACATCTAAATCTCCTGTCTCATTTCCAGGAATCCTCATCCTCCCTTACTCTCCAATTCTACTCTTTCAAAATCTTTTCTCCACTATAATCAAAATGGTTGCCTCCTGAATCAATGAGGAAAACACTCCTGACCAGGTGTTACCTTTTCAGTTTTCTCATTGGCCAAACTCCCACCTTATGCCTAACTACTCAGATTTTATCTCTGTTAAAGTATAACTCACATTTCATTTCCATGAAACCAGATCTCACAGCCCTCATTGATCATCCCTTCTTAAAATGATGTACAATGACCCTTGTATTTTAGGGATTCTGAATACTCTTATAGGATTTATACTAACTTGAATTATATCTTCAAGTTTCAGAGAACATGTAAGTTGTGCCTAGTGATGTTAAATGTGTGTTTGTTACATGTAGTAGATCCTCTTTTTGTGTTGGTCCTATGGTAGCAAATTTATCTATTCACTAAAATTTATTTGCAACCCCAAAATTAATATTTGTGGAGCTTTCATGGTTGTTCACAGACATGTAGACAGGTGCTTCCCTGCTGGAGTGGAACATGCTACCCTCTGCCTTCTTGCCTCAGTTCTCATACAATAAGAAAGTGTGCTGTTTGCAGTCTACTTAGCATCATGTTTTTTTGCATTATAAGCTTTTTGTTGGTGATGTTGCTGTTTAAAATTGCCCCTAAGCTTTCAGGCATGGTGGCACATGCCTATAATCCAATGGCTAGGAAGGCTGAGGCAGGAGGATCACAAGTTCAAAGCCAGCCTCAGCAAGAGCGAGGTGCTAAGCAACTCAGTGAGACCCTGTCTCTAAATCAAATACAAAATAGGGCTGGGGATGTGGCTCAGTGGTCAAGTGCCCCCAAATTCAATCCCTGGTTACCCCCTACCTCCCCAAAAAATGCCCCCAAGCATAGTGGTGAATGCTGCCAAGTGCTCCTAAGCACAAGAAGGCTGTGAAGTGGAAACAGGTATAAGGTATTCAGGTGTAAATCATTGTCCTGTTGGCTGTTTCGGTGATAAGGAACAACAATATCAAACAAGCTGTCTTGAACCAGAATACACAGGCAGTGAGGTTATGTGTTGCTTGGCTGGTAGAAATGTTTTGACCAGAGGCCCGTAGGAACCAAACGCTATGTTTCCCCTGGGAGCAATATTTGCTAATTCAGTGTTTGTGGCAATTCGTGGAATTTAACTACAGTAATAATGAGAATTGACTATATATGTATGTGTACATTGACATTAGTCTTATTTAGGAGACAAGGAAATAAATTCTTATTGAAATTAAGTAGTTTACCCAAGATCATTTGCCAAGCTGCTAAATAGTAGATCTGAAATCTGGGCTGTGAGATTCCAAAGTCTATTGGGTTTCCTTTTACCAAACCAGTGTTTTTCTTTGTTTTCATTAGGTTCAGAGTCCTAGTTATTACAGGGTATTATGGGCGTGTGCATATAAAATTGAGTTGAGTTTGCTGAGAGAATAATAAAAAACCATAGTACACATTGAGTAGATAAAAGTATTTTTTAAAGTTTTATTTATAGTCCCACGTTAGTGAGCAGATAAGTGACTCCCAATCTTAGAAGTAAAAGAACCTCTTTTTTTCAAAGTTGAGTTGTTAATAATATGCACAAGCTTTGTCTTCTTTATCATGGAAATGAAATTCTGACTAGTAGCCAAATCTTAAATAATCAAAGCTATAAGAATACTACCATAACCTAGATTTATTTCCTGACACATGGGTCTAAGGCCCTTGCTTAGCATCTGGATGGCCATCTTAAGAGCCTCCATTTTGAGGAAAAAGTTTTGCTTTCCTGCCCAAGGGTGTTTCTGAGAAAGGCTCACCCTCATACCAACCCAACCCTGCATTAGGACCTGCTGGGCTCTGATTCCTGAGCTTCCCCCTAAAAATCCCAGAAACCCAAGCCTGTTTTGCCTCCCTCTCCTATAGAGAGATGGCCTTTATTTGTCAGCTCTGACAAATAAATGCTGGTATGTATCTCTGCCTGGTTTCCGTCTTTTCATTCCTCGCTTTCCCTTCAATGTGTGCACACCTTAAACCTTTCTGGCACTTACCTGAGCTGATTCACACATGCTGTGAAAGTGAACACACTTGCATGTTGTATGTATGTGGTCAGAGATACAGGCCAGACTTTATAAAAGACTTTTTCCCCCTTAACTGTGTATATACTTACATGCAGATATAACAGGAGAAATTATATTATCAAACCTACCCAAAACACATACACATGGATCAACTTACTGGCTTTGTGATCTGCACTGTTTCATATGTGTATGTGTGTGTACACATGTATATATCCACATGCACACACACATTTATACACATGTACATATGCACATGTACATGTATGTTGAGACTTTTTTTTTACAAACTTCGTAATATATTTTCAAAAATAATTGAAAATATTTGTCGAACCTTCAAAGCACCTTGGTGAACACAGTTTGAACAGCCATTTCTTACCCACATCCCCACCAGTAGCTGTTTCTTTCTGAGTAGATAGTATGCAGATCTTACTGGTAAGAATCATATCTTTTTTTTTTTATTTATTTATGTATTACAAATGATCTTAGCTTAGTACTAAATATAAAGAAGTCTCTCACCATTGGTAATCCACTGCACCCCAGATGGTTGGCAACCAGCTATATCATAGCAAAGATTTCTGCAGAGTGAGTTTAGAAGTAAATAATGTGATGAAATGATTTCACTTGATTGTGTGGAACAAGGGCCTTGATGTATCACAGAGTGGGTCAGATTTTGTTCCTATGATAGTCTCTTGACATTTCTTTTTTCCTCAAAAACCAGAGCCACACAGGAGTCTCAAATTAACACTTCTCAACTTTGAAAAAGCTGCCAGAGACAAGGTTGGGTGAGGAGTTTCCCACAGGGAAGCAAGACCAGATAACAACATTTTATGTCTTCCCCAAGGCTACACTATAATTCCCAAAGTGTTAGAGAAGGGGCTAAGGGGTCCTTCAAAGCTATGCCATTAGTAAGCCGAAGGGACTAATGGGTTTTAGCTTAGAATCCTGAACTCACGGTTTAAATATTTTATGATAGTTTGCTTTTCCTTTAATTAGATGGCTGCATGTCCAGAGACTTTAAATATCCTATTTTTAAGAAGCTAAACTTTTCACATCTCAAGGCATCAAGATTGATGTATTTTTCCTGGTTTAAAGAACAGCTGAATTCCATTGTGCAGATAAAAATGGATTAACTGCATGATACCACCTCGGGCTTTACTGGCTCTGTCACTTCTCCAACTGGGCAGAGACTTTTGCCTCCAGAGGTGATGACCCAATGGTTTTGTCCTGCCTGAGTTAGTAAAAACATCCACTGTGTTTATAAGCACCACTCAAGAGTTTGTTTAGCCACATCTTCTCTACCCCGACCCCAGAAAGAATGCAAAAGCAATAGAGATTCCAAACTTTTCAGCTTTATTTTCCACTCCTTATTTTCCAAGTGGAGATTATTGAAAACAATCATTCTTTCTTGCTGCAGGAAAAGCCATCGGAGGAAGAGAGAAAACACAAGGAAGCTTTGGATGATCTTCACATGGTGGTAGATGAGGATTCAAGGAGTGAAAACAGCAGTACAGATGAGGGCAAAGAAAAGACGAAATTGCTGTTGGAAAGATTGAAAGCTTTAGAGGTAAGAAATGGAACCATTCCTACATGTTTAAAGAAGAATAACAGTGTTCTGGCTTTTATTGGCACTGATTTTAACTGAGTATAAATCTTCCTCTCTCAGTTCTCCCAGACTGATATAACTGAGTGTCTACCACTGAGATTCTTTTGTCAATGATGAACAAAAAATTAAGATTTGCAGCATTGAAAGGGTCTTGACACAGTGGCTGTGACTTTATTGCCTTAGAAAGAGGATGTAGGACAATAATTTATTTTGAAATCATTTCAGACCTCAAACTGGATCAATTCCTAAAATTACAAGCTCTTTGATACAGGAGGCTGAGTGAAGCTTCACATCGTTTTCCTTATACCGGATGAAATGAATGAATGAGTGAATGAACAAACAAAATACTTTAGAGTGTGTAAAGAAGATTGTAAAAAGGTTGTGTGTGTAAATATATGTATGTGTATATATATATATATATATATATATATATATACACACACACACACACACATATATATATATACATATATATGCATACATTTGTACATGTATTATATATACAATGTATATATAAAGATCACATATAAATTTTTAAAAAGTAAAAGCATTTTTTCAAATAAAACCATGCATAAAAGTTCAATTTGTTTGTGCAGCATATAAAAAGTAGAGTTGAAGCCAGGATAAAGGATTTTTAAGGAGATTTTTGGAGCACTATAGTCCACCAAAATAATACTGTTTGAAAAACACAGGGTTATTACTTAGTGGCATTTGACATCATATCAAGTGTTAATTCCTGAATTTTCAAAGCAGTATCAAAGAACACTCCAGCTGCAAGTTTTTGATTGAGATTATATGTACTAAAAAATTCAATAAAGCTGCCTTCTTTCTTAAGAGTTTACTTTCCTCTTTTCCATATATTTATAAGGGGTTTTCACCCATCATCATCTAAAATCAGTCCTACTATAAGCTCTACAGAATCCTGCAAACTTTCATGGTATGAATAAACAGAAATGGAAGAGAGATCTTGTTTTCTATAACTTGGTTTCTGTGACCTGGCCTCTAAACCACCATATGGTCACTAGTGAGCATGTCCTTTTTATTCTTAGCACATGTTCAGCACAATGGTTAAGATAATGGACTTTTGGGGCTAGGGATGTGGCTCAAGCAGTAGCACGCTCACCTGGCATGCGTGGGATGCTGGGTTCCATCTTCAGTACCACATAAAAATAAAATAAAGATGTTGTGTCCACCAAAAACTAAAAAATAAATAAATAAATATTAAAAAATTCTCTCTCTCTCTCTTAAAAAAAAAAGATAATGGACTTTGGAGCAAGATGCTCAGGGTTTTGTTTGAATACTTGTTCTATACTTTTTTGCTTTTAAAACCTTCAAATTCACATATTCTCTCTGTGTTTCCTCAATTGCAGAAATGAGGATAATAATAGCAACTCAATTTACAGAAAAGTAACAGGGATTAAATAAGTTATGTATACAATGATTTTCTTTGCTTGGTCTCTTCTGTCCATCTAACTCAAGGCTGCTACCTCTTCCTAAGTCATTTTCCCCTATTTCTCTGAGTTCAATGATCAATACAAAAACTATGAATGAAAAAAAAAATCAGCTATTGCACACCAGCATGAGTGAAACAGATAGGTGAGCAACTGATATTAGACACAGAGCAAAAGGGAATCCAACTGAGGGAAACTCCAAGAGCTCCCAGGTGTGAAGGACCAGGAATCACCTGTCTCCCAAGGGGGTCTCATGCTTTTGTCATTTTTAAAGGTAGTGTTAAAGATAGGAAGGCCTTCTTGAGGGGAACTGAAGTTTCTGTTTGGGAGTTGTGAGAAAACTTACAACTATCTTCAGTCTGAATTAACTAGATTCAACAACAGGAGTGAGTTGATATGACATGTACTTAAATTGTTTAGTTTTTATTTATGATTACAGTGAACATTGTTCTCAATTCATCTTATTGTCAGAGACAACTTTGTGAAGGACATTTGGTCTAATCAAGCTAAGAGGTATTTAAAAAATGTCTTTGGCAGCAAATGTTCCATAAAGTTCAGAGTGAAAAAGAAGCCATATTTTTTTCCTTCCTCAGAGAGCTTTACACTTTCAGCAACAACTCTTTCATCCACCATTAGTTGGATGCAATACATGATATATTTAAGTGCCATTTGGACCCATGATTTTAGTTTACAAACTATTTTATTTCCTAAATTAATTTTCTTTAATCCAACTATCATTACTTGTTTCCTAAAATTCTTTGTTTAATATTAAGTTAACTCTGTTTTTGCCCCTGTGTCTCCCTACATTATACTTGACAATCCTATCATTTTTATTACATAAAATCTTTTTATTGTATGTGATCCAATTTTCATATGAATTTCATATGCTACTTAATTAGATTTTTAAAGAATTTGCTACATATGCTCAGTGTGTAGGATCCTCTGCATAGGTTAAAATTTGTTGTGAGAAAATAGAGAACTCATTTTGACAGACTGTGATTAGAACTGGTCACAGACCCCCATGAGGATTCGTGCACTTCCACAAAATGCTCCTCTGAAAGATTGCAGGGAAATTAACCGTAATGCATCAAAATCGCTTTGGCAAGATTTGATATTGTACAGCGAGATTTTAGAAAAACAAGGGATATTTTGTACCGGTATATCTTTGAAAAAAACATGCATATATCTTAATCTCTGAGCTGCTGATATTGTAGGAAGCAGCAAAGAATGATTTTCAGGGTGATGGAAAGCAGTCTTCTTTTATTCCTGCTCCCCAAACAGGTCCCAAGAAAGTGTGGAAAAGGAGTTACAGAGTCTACGTCTAATATTGTGCTCTTGATTAATATGACAGTAATATCAAAATATTAAAAACAATTTTGAAACACTTAAATTGTAAGTTGTATTTGAAAAATCTCCTGACTTTGAGAATTAAGTAAATATTTTCCAGGTACCTCTTACCTCCACCTCAGGATTTCTCCCTCTTGTCATTATTTCCTATTCACTTTTGATCATAATCTCTCATCTTCTGTGTCAGCACCAACATCCTGTGAAACAATACAGCCTTTGCTAGAGTTTTCCAAAATCCAGCCTCAGAGAGGAGATGGGGCTATGGCAGCACATCTTTAGGTAGCTCCACTTCTACTCAGTCCTTTGGCTACAGCACCTTCCTCTGCAGCCCCTTTCTTTTCAATTCCCAGCCCCAGGATGTAGGACTTGGCTAGAGCTTTCCCACAGGCTTCCCTGTTCCACAGCCAACTTCCCCCTTGTCTGCTATGCAGATTTCTAGATCTAGGCACTTCACCTGGTGAGTCTATCCCATGCCATGCCCAGGCTCATCAAGGTATTTTAGCAAATCAGGTGTTTACCTTCCTAAAGAGAACGCTAGGTCCTGTAGCCAAAATAACACACACACACACACACACACACACACACACTTTATTTCTCTGCTGAGTGTCTCACTTTTGGCCATATTTATTTGTCCTGGGGAGGAAGAGTGGACTGTTTTACCTCTTAGTTCAGACACTGCTTCTGATTTTTGTTTAGGTTCCTGATGTCTGGTAGAGAAACCATTTGTTGATTTTTTTAATATGCCGTTCAGCCATGTTGGTGATCTAGAGTCCACTCGCTCCTTCCCTTTACCTTCTCCATGCCCAGACATGTTTCATGAAAGTTCAGGTTTTCGTGGCTACCATTACAGGGACTGCTTACTTGGCTTAGGAAAGGGCTCACCATTTTCAACGGCATTGCTATGTCACAGTTCTCTTCTGAAAAGGACTGCTCCTCTCTCACACTTCACTCTATTACATTGATGAGAGATCTTTCCAGACATGCCCTCCAGGATCCACAGGCTGAATTTGGAGACTTCCCCGGGCATTCCTCCTGGGCATTCACCTCAGAGCCTGCATTTGCTCCTGGAATGTTCCTGGCAATACATGATTTGCTTGTCTCCAGAGCTTCCTCCCGAAAGCCCCAACAGCCATTCCTCCCCACTCAGACACTGAATTTAGAGCTGACCCCAAATCAAGCTGGACCTTCCTTTTGCAACTCCTTTTACAACTCCTGTAGCATCTCTGATTTCCAAGTGCCAGCTGGGGGAAGAACAGCCTGAGGTCACCTGAGATTTCTGAGCTTCCCAGTAAGTGCAATAGCATCAAGGTCAGAAGAACTCACCCTCTTATAGGAATGATTTGTTTTTTTGCAGTAAAATATGATAATAAATATGTTAAGGTAAGTAATAGCTTTTTATTCTCAAGTATTCCTTTCAATGAAAGGATGACAATTAAAGTGCTAAGCATAAGCATTTTTTTTAATCAGCAATTCCTATTTAAGTTTAGGTAATTCAAAATAATTGAACCTCAGTGCACTTCACGATTATATACAGAATTCATAGTCAGTAGATATATACCTTCTATGGGTACACAAAATACCATCTGTGGGCCAAACACTGTTCTAGGCACTGTGTTAGATCCCCATCCTAGAGACAGGAAGCACATAATTTTTTAAAAAACCATGAATTGATAAAGAGATAAATGCTTCTAAATGAAAAAAAAAATAGGTGATATAGTGGCAGAAGGAGTACAAGATGGGAGTGAGAGTGGCATGTGCCTACCTAAGAAGCCTTTTGACATCAGGCCCAGAGCTATATGAAGACTGGAAGACCACCATTCTAGAAAGACGCAGCGGCTGGTGTGGAATCCCGACTCCAAGATGTTAGCAAGCCTGGCAAGTTAGAGGAACAGAAATAAGAACTGTGTCCTGCGATATCAGATTCAGGATCAGAACATGGGAAAGATGTGAGTTTAGAGGGGTAGATGAGGGCCAGACCCTGTGAAAAACCATAGGCCATGGCCACATAAAAGCAACTGGAAATAATTATGAGTTCAAAGAGAAGCCATTAGAGATGTTTGACCCAGGAAGTTACATGCTGTGGCTTGTTTTTTGTTTGTTTGTTTTTTTAATGTCCATGCTGTTTTGTAGGGCAATTGTGGGACAGGGGTAGAATTAGAGACC